AGGTAACTAAACTGACGGTATGTATATATGAGAGTTAAGTTGTTACAATTCAGGTAACTAAACTGACGGTATGTATATATGAGAGTTAAGTTGTTACAATTCAGGTAACTAAACTGACGGTATGTATATATGAGAGTTAAGTAGTTACAATTCAGGTAACTAAACTGACGGTATGTATACATGAGAGTTAAGTAGTTACAATTCAGGTAACTAAACTGACGGTATGTTTATATGTATATATGTGAGAGTTAAGTAGTTACAATTCAGGTAATTAAACTGACGGTATGTATATATGAGAGTTAAGTATTTACAATTCAGGTAACTAAACTGACGGTATGTATACATGAGAGTTAAGTAGTTACAATTCGAGCATCGACTTTACGTGAACTGAAACAATAATCGGAAGTTTTGAAGATTGAAAGAGTGATATAAAGTTAAGACTATAAATCTTGTAACGAAGAGTTATATAAAAACTAATTTAGCAACTGATTTTATAAGGGTTAATATGAAACACTTTTGAATTTATAAATAAATCCAATGTATGTTTCATTTCCTGCTCAGGTTTTTATAGACATGGTGAAGTAATATTGACTCCTTCAGATGGACAATGATTTTTGTCACAGATTATTCTGCCATTTTGTAGAAAACAGGATCAGATTATACTTGGTTATTCCTAACGTGGATATAGACGAAACACATTTTGGATTATGTTTTGTCTTGATATAATTTTTCCTACTTAATAACTTTAAACTGTAAGATAAGAAATCCTCAGTGAATGCCATGTCTCCTTTGAGAACACTCCGCTAGAATTGGTTTTCAACGCATGCGTATTATAGTGGATGCATCAACAAAATTTATGTTAGATAAACTTCTACATCCTATTTAAGTCAGATAAAGTCTAATAACCTTTTATTTTTTTTGTCATCGACCAACCTAACCCAGTGAGAGGTTGTATAGCTCGAAAATACAGAATATAACCGGTTATCGGTTTGTGAACTTAGATTACCTAACATATATATATATATATATTTATGGTCTTGAATAATGCATCATTTAGCACTCTCTAATATTGAATGCTTATGTAAACTTTCACCAACATTCAGTTCACTGTGAAGTTGAAGAAGAGCAAAAACAGTGAGATTGTAGAAGTGACGGTTACTGGCCGACCTGGAACGTTTGTGGGCGTGGCAGCAGTTGAGAAAACTCTGTACAGGATGCAGACTGGAAATGAACTCAACCACGGCGACGTAAGTGTGAGCCATCGAGAAGTAATATTAAAGCTTCTATATATCTATCTATATATATATATATATGCGCTGATCACTATACCAAAATACCTGCTTTTATCTCTTCTTTTATCCTTCTCGAAACAACAGATTAAGAAAAGCTTTCATATCATGAAAACCTTTAACTATTCCAAAAATGTGTCTGTTAGTTTAAGTGATAATGGTTACAAATAGTACCACTACATTTAAACTACTCGAAGAAATAAATAATTTCTTTCATAAACTATAATTCATTATTCTGACACTTATGCTGTGATCTCGTGTTCTCACACCGTTATTGAGTTGTCAACAGACTGTAGTTCAAATTTATATGTCATGATTTAGTTGTCAAGAACCTACAGCTTAGACTTTTATACCATTATTGAATTACCAACAGACTACAGCTCAGACTCTTACACAGTAAGCCTCCAGTGGCACAGCGGTATGTCTGCGGATTTACAACGTTAGAAACCGGGTTTCGATACCCGTGGTGGGCAGAGCACATATAGCCAGCGCATTGTGTAGCTTTGTGCTTAATTAGAAACAAACAAACTTACACCATAAATGAGTTATTAAAAGACTACACATGCAGTGATTTAGTCATCAACATGCTACAGCTCACACTCTTAGTGATTTAATTATTAACATTCTATAGCTCAGAATCTAACAAGTTATGAAATTAAATGTTTAACACACCAATCTTAAAGTGGGAAATGAGTTATGCTTAGGAAGAATGCCGTTTTTTTTATTTTTAGATTGTAGATGCCTTTTTCATAACATCTTGATTTATCCATTCGAAATTTTAAAATTTAGGAGTGTAAAAGTAGCATATGGGAGCTGTGGCTCAGTTTTGTACAAATAATAACTTAAACGTGCCAATTTCGAACTCTTGTTGTTTTGCTTAAGCGCAAAGTTGCAAAACGACTATCAACATTATATCAACCGCGACGATCGAACCCCAAATTTTATCGTTATAAGTCCTCAAGCTGAGTATCATTGAGACACACGATATAGTGAAATAGATAGTTGAACAGAAACACTCAAATTTAAGCTTATTTATAGAAGAGTGTCTGTGGAGGAACTTACGCTGATCATATTAAATAAATTATTTCATCCATTAAGGAACAAAGAAGTGTGTTTAATTAACTTATTACGTGACTGTGTTGATCAAGTGGAATACATTTTTTGTTTATAATATTATATATAACTGTATATATTCTACTGAATTAAATGATTGATTTTATTAAAAATATTAATATATTTCTCGAAGTGATGGAAACCAGTTACACAATTTATGATGAGGTAAATTTACAGATGGGGTAAAGTAACAAAGGTTTTATTTTTATAAGTGCAGTAAAGATCATGATAATTAATTAGGTTCTGTATAAAATGACGACTTTTGACAACTCTTCCAACGGAACGCTGATGCACGTGTTTCATTCGAGAGAGGGAGAACCTGATGACATAATCCAGTTTCCTTCTTCCACCTACGGTATTGACACTAATAGGACATTTGAGGTAATAGATATATATATATGTACTTCTATTGGCTAATGTCATGCTTTAATTGTTTTATATCGCGTTTATTTATTTTTAAATATTGTCTCAAAATGCACCATTCCAAATATTATAATTACAGGGTTTTCGAGTCCTTTTAAATCACCATGCAGTGTGAATAGTGCTACAACGTTACGCTCCTAATTCATTATTCAATATTAGATATCGGACCATCTGTTTAATGAGTATATATATGTTACATATTTCTTTTCTTTTTTACCAAAGGTAAAAATGATGGTGTATGGTGATTTAGAAGAACTAAAAACCCCGTATGTATTATATACACATCACCATTATTAGAGGCTTAACTGTATTTCTTTGATTTGCTAATTGATGAGCCTTCAGTAGGTGAAACAGCAGAGAGTATGGCCAATCAAGAAATCCATTAGGCCGCTGGTTTGAACGATTGACTTATCTCAGAAAATACTAAGTTTTTACACTTGTTGTTTAACTTCCTTTGAATTTGTTTTTGAATAATCTCCCAAGTGCTTTTAGAGAACATGTATATGACTTTCGTAGAGAATAATCTATAGCTTGGTTTTTAATCCAGAATTCATTTAACCTGAATCTATTGCTACATTTTTATCTATAACATTTTATTTCGTGTTTGCCATGTGGCTCAGAATACTTGCGAATTGGTTCTTTTTTTTATGCCGTTTTTCATTCAATATCTTTTGATATCAACGAATAGAATTCAAATTGCCAATGAGGTTGGGAATAAAATTACTTTCTACTTTTTTCGTCTAATTTGATCTTCACTGTCGAATTATGAGAAAAGTATTTGATAATGTTTGAACGTTTGGTATATATTGATAGATAATGATTTCAATGCAGACGATCGATAGTGAATATAAATGGGTGTGAATGTGCCCCAGTTATCACCACCTCCCCCTCCTTGTGGATTCTAATATCATCGGTTTGCAATATTTAGTGTTTTATTACACACCCTTCTAATGGAAAATAATTCGTTACAATTAATATAGTTTTTAAATAATGCAAAATAATATCTTAAAATTAAGTTTGCAAAATAATCAATAAGAAATGATATCAAGGATAGTGTTTCAGTATTACTTTTGAATATATTCAGTTAAGAAGGAAATATGTATTATTTTTTACAAATATTTAGAATAGTTTCTTGATTACATAATGTGCCAAGTATAGAACATATTTTAAAATAGTTACTTGATTAAATAATGTGCCAAATATAGGACACATTTTAAAATAGTTACTTGATTACATAATGTGCCAAATATAGGACATATTTTAAAATAGTTACTTGATTACATAATGTGCCAAATATAGGACATATTTTAAAATAGTTACTTGATTACATAATGTGCCAAATATAAAACATATTTTAAAATAGTTACTTGATTACATAATGTGCCAAATATAGGACATATTTTAAAATAGTTACTTGATTACATAATGTGCCAAATATAAGACATATTTTAAAATAGTTACTTGATTACATAATGTGCCAAATTTTGGACATATTTTAAAGTTTAAAACATGAAAAGAAGATGTATCTTTAAACATAAAAATACACTAGCTGGAAAAAAAGTAATTTTAAAATTATTGATCTGGTGGTATATTCTTATGCTCGGCTATACAGTTTTAATAGCCAGATATTTATGTTTCGTATATTTAGTGCAATAAGAAAAATTTTATCATTTTTTTAGTATGCCAACTTGGTCGTGTTTACTGACGCCAATATAACGAAGCAACCAGGTAAATACATTTTTCACTGTTTCGCAAATTATTTTACATTATTTCACAGTATTTAACAATAACACAAAAATCTGTAAATTGATATACTTAAAACAAAATCACTTTTGAGTAAATAGTTTCTCAAAATAAAGTACATGTTGTTTCGAAGGTATTACTGATAGTAATATATAGTCTTATGTAATTCTTTTTTCGATAAGTTTTACACTAATATCAAACGTGTTTTGAAAACATCAGTTTTACTTTAAATGCGACAAGCTTCAGTCTTTCTTTTTGTCTTGTTAGCATACAACTACGTAGAACTGCTATATCACGGTTAAATTTGGGCATATACTGTTAAATACCCATAACAGAGTCTGATCATTTGGTATGACTTAGTAGTTCTGCTAGATTCTGTACTATTGAATAAGACATTACTCCCTACCCATCACTTCAGATGAATAAGAAATTACCAACGGCATGCTCAAGATGAGTAGAGTACGACCCAAACTGTAGTCATGAAGAGTAAGAACTTGTGCATGATTTACCCACACAAATAAACTCAGCACAGTTAAATACGTATACTTTCCTAACAGATTAGTGTAATTCAGCACAGTTAAATACGTATACTTTCCTAACAGATCGGTGTAATTCAGCACAGTTAAATACGTATACTTTTCTAACAGATCAATGTAATTCAGCACAGTTAAATACGTATATTTTCCTAACAGATCAGTGTAATTCAGCACAGTTAATACGTTTACTTTTCTAACAGATCAGTGTAATTCAGCACAGTTAAATACGTATACTTTCCTAACAGATCAGTGTAATTCAGCACAGTTAAATACGTATACTTTTCTAACAGATCAGTGTAATTCAGCACAGTTAAATACGTATACTTTTCCTAACAGATCAGTGTAATTCAGCACAGTTAAATACTATACTTTCCTAACAGATCAGTTTAATTCAGCACAGTTAAATACATATACTTTCCTAACAGATCAGTTTAATTCAGCACAGTTAAATACATATACTTTCCTAACAGATCAGTGTAATTCAGCACAGTTAAATACGTATACTTTCCTAACAGATCAGTTTAATTCAGCACAGTTAAATACGTATACTTTTCTAACAGATCAGTGTAATTCACCACAGTTAAATACGTATACGTTTCTAACAGATCAGTGTAATTCAGCACAGTTAAATACATATACTTTCCTAACAGATCAATGTAATTCAGCACAGTTAAATACGTATACTTTTCTAACAGATCAGTGTAATTCACCACAGTTAAATACGTATACGTTTCTAACAGATCAGTTTAATTCAGCACAGTTAAATACATATACTTTCCTAACAGATCAATGTAATTCAGCACAGTTAAATACGTATACTTTTCTAACAGATCAGTTTAATTCAGCACAGTTAAATACGTATACTTTTCTAACAGATCAGTGTAATTCAGCTAAGTTAAATACGTATACTTTTCTAACAGATCAGTGTAATTCAGCTAAGTTAAATACGTATACTTTTCTAACAGATCAGTGTAATTCAGCTAAGTTAAATACGTATACTTTTCTAACAGATCAGTGTAATTCAGCACAGTTAAATACGTATACTTTTCTAACAGATCAGTGTAATTCAGCACAGTTAAATACGTATACTTTTCTAACAGATCATTGTAACTCCAGTCGGGGATACGTAGCTTGCATGAGTGGAATGTGTTATTCAATCACAAAACGCTGTGATGGAGAGTGGGACTGTAAGGATGGATCTGATGAAAGTGAATGTAAGTTTTAATATTGTTTTATCTTATAACTTTAAAGGTTTCTGGGGTGTTATTAGTTTGAAGTAGGATAAGTATAATTTTAGCCTAACCATACGTCTGATTAAACAAGAAACCCTTTCAAGCCGACAAATCAGTTATTTCAAGCTTTGCTTCCTGATCTTAATATGTGCTGTAGTTTGTGTTCATTCTTTACAGTTATTGAAAGTAAAACATGTTATCCATGTTACACAGACCCCAGTGGCTCAGCGGTCTGTGTGCTTATAACGCTAAAATCAGGTTTCAATACAATAAACAAACGTGTAAGTTAGAGTTACTGCACCTTTCTAAGTTATATAAAATAGATCTATTTTTGTGGGTAAGTTTGACATGTTGTAGTTTAGTCATTAAAAGAAAGTTGTCTGATGATATTACTATCATCTTCTTTCACTCTTGCATTATTAGTGTAGAAGATATGTGTGTTTAGGAACATTCAGATTGTTTTATAAATGTTCATGTAAGTGATGTTCTGCATGTAGAGAGCGTTTTCCCGGTAAACCGCATATGCAGAAGTTGTAAACAGACACTAATTCTCTTGCTTAGATAAAGGTTATGTACTATAAAGATTATGTACTACAGAGACTATTTACTGAATAGCAGTGTAATATCGTTTTAAGAGTTGATATAGGCGCTTATATAAATTAGTATGAATTGTTAGTTCTCTCCCCTTGTACATGTATTTGAAATATTCGTTGACGTACGTAATCTAACGTTTGTGGAATACCGTACTAGGGTTTTTGGTTTCGGTATAGACACTAAAATTTATACACGTCAAAAGCGCATCCAACGATCGACAGCTAGGAACCCCCCACCGATCCAGTTTCTCTCAGGGTAGTGGGTCCACAGCATGTCACTGTGCCGTCAGGCTGCTAAAAATATTACCCAAAAGGCATAACGAGTCAATCTGTGCAGCATAGTGTTTAATTTATGTTGCTAACTCTGAGATTCCAGTTCGTAGTGATGCAGCATGAAATCATCTGCATCCTACTTCAAAAGGTTACACTTTACAGTCCCATCCCTTCAAAAGGTTACACTTTACAGTCCCGTCCCTTCAAAAGGTCACACATTACAGTCCCATCTCTTCAAATGGCTACACTTTACAGTGCCATCCATTCAAAAGGCTACACTTTACAGTCCCATCCCTTCAAAAGGTTACACTTTACAGTCCCGTCCCTTCAAAAGGTTACACTTTACAGTCCCATCCATTCAAAAGGCTACAATTTACAGTCCCATCCCTTCAAAAGGCTACACTTTACAGTCCCATCCATTCAAAAGGCTACCCTTTACAGTCCCATCCCTTCAAAAGGTTACACTTTACAGTGCCATCCATTCAAAAGGCTACACTTTACAGTCCCATCCCTTCAAAAGGTTACACTTTACAGTCCCATCCCTTCTGTTATACACCCGGCTGCTAGGTTCACCTACCTTATTGCTTTCTTCTCATAAGCTTCCTCAATCCCTTCTTCGCATACTACAGGTAGTTCTCCAATCAACATAGCCTTCTCCCTCTCATTCAGTACTGGATGGAGCTGCATCTGAACGATAGGTGTGGGGTTATATTACCCCAAATCCTCTCTGATCGGCCACATTGCTTATTGCCTTCTTCATTCTTCCTCTCTGTCGTGTCGCTTCTGCCGTTATAAATTTCACGGAACATTAGTCAATGCTATAGCCTCCACCGACACATTAATTAAGCACCTCATTATGTTATCCTATACAGTGCATGCAGATAGAACGTGACGAAATGAGCTCTGCTTACAACAGAGTGGACAAACACTACTCTCCCTTTTACCTGAATTAAATAGGTTAATGAGCGGGAGTAACATATACTTTCAACCAATAACTTCAGTCTTTCCATCATCATCAGCCAAAGACCATTCCAACCTAGACATACATCTTCAACATTATTCAACTCAGCCATGCACTTTTTGCACTGTCTTTGAAACCCTGGATTCCCCTTCTGCTTGTCCAACCCATCTATTACTAACTTTCATCTTCCTGTACTATCTTCTCAGCTCAAAATCGCTTTCTTTCGCGAAATCCAAGTCCCAGTTGTGGTATTCCATTATTCTTATTTTGATCCTTGTCTTGTTCGGACTTCTATAATTCTTTATCCTATCCTTGACTTGTATGGACGTTCTATAAAATTTATTCTATGCAACCCAATCAGCTATTTGCAGTCTTCCTGTAAAAAATGGCCAGATACAAAACCTATTCAAGCTGTGTTATATGAATGACCTTACTTATTTGTTCGCTTGTGTATTTGTACGTCTTTTACTCTCCGGGTTTGAAGTATTATTCTGTTTAGCGCTTTTGTAATACAAGTTTTGCAGATACTTACAACTTTCGTTGTGACTCAATAGCCTTGAATACACATTGTAAACTCTTTCAAAAGCTAAAAGAAACAGAATTTAACAAATTAATTTGATTGAATATTATTTATTATGATAAATTATAATAACATTTTTGTACCAACTCTGCATAATTCATTTTAAACTAGTAAATGCCCTGATGCTTTTGATGTGCTTAGGGATGCCTAATGTTTCCTGGTTTATTTCAATTTTAACGAAAATGTTTAATAATAGTAGTTTTAATGTGAATTTTTCTGTTACATTTCTGTTTTTTTCTGCTGACCTGGATAAACCAAAAACGCCTAAAGTCAGGTGTGGGCGTAAGTACAACGTATTTTCAATTTTTATTTATAGAAAATATAAATTTTTATTCTTCTACCTATTGAATTTATGACAACCGTGTTTTAGACAGTAAATTTCGCTAAAATGGAATGATTATCTTTTTATCAAATAAAACAAAAGTTTAAGCAATTCGTTTTCTTAACTATTTTAATCATTATTACTAGATAGCTATTCAAAATTTGTTAAAACGGATCTTCTAAGATAATTTGAGCAAAATAACATTTTACCTAATATCATTTTAGTCCGATACTTTACATATACTTGAAACTAAAAAAAAAACGTATTTTTTAGCATTTGTAATATATTGTTTAAAATTGCAAATCACTAAAAACTAAAGAAGAAAAAGTAAATCTTAACATATATGTTTAAGGCCCTCCAAGAGATGAGTTGAACCTCAAACACTTCAGGTTACATCGGATGAGTCGACGTTCACAGCTGTATGAGAATTCATTACTGTGGAGAGACATAACCATTAAGTGAGTGCCTTGTTTATAGATAACTCGGAATATATATATTATCTCATCAGAGTATGAATCAGAAATGCATAGTTGTTGATAATATATATGAAAAGTTTTTGTACGAAGTACGAATCCTTATTTTGAATTTATCTTGAATATTTATCTGGTATGTTTACTTTTTTCAATATATATATAAGTATGATGTAGGTTTATATGCGTTATTGGAAACTTTGTAAGCTGTTAAGTGCCGTGATTGTTTCTGATTATCTTAAAACGCGTGGAATAATGTTTTCCTTGTGCTTTTTTTTTGTTGTTTTTTTTTTTGCAACTTTCTTCGTAAAACTGATATTAATTACAAATAGCTCTCAAGGATACGAGACATTTCACGTACCGTTATCCAAGTATCCAACTAACTGGGTTGTCACTGCGTTCGGAATGAGCAGTGACATGGGTTTCGGAATCCTTCGTCCAGCGTTACAGGTAAGTGTGGAGTGTAGCCTAATGAATAACGTAGGAATCTTTCATGTTTTAATAGTTGTTACTTTTGTGTTCCCTTCAAATTTCAAGTTTTGTTATGCATTTTATGAAACATCTAATAAATACTCATAGCTGTTATAAGTATGTCACTGTATCATCAATACATTTAGTTAGAAGTAATTGTGCGAAAAAAATGCAATTTATAGGATTTTTCACGAAATATTAGTTTCTCGGATAAAGATACTTTTCAACTATTTGAGTTTTACAGACACGCCATGTGTTGGCAAGTATATTACTAATAACGCTATAATGAGTATTAGATGCATAATGATCTTTTATTATCATTGCTGTCAACTGTCTGACAATTCATTGTAGTCAGTTTCATTGAACGTTTAGTAATTGTTCATAAATGTATTGTCTTCAAGAACATCAGCCGTCCAACAAATGTTCATTATAAAGAGTGTCACATGGCTGAGAATGTATTGTTTTCACTGTTGTTTGTTGACTAACAAAAATCGTTTGGTGTGACGAGTGTCAAATGACTGACATGTGTTGTTGAAGACAAGGTGAAACAATTAAATTTTCTACTTTCCTCGCCTAAGCAATTCTTTTATTACCTGCCATATATTCAACAATCGTCCGTTTTTACGACTGCCAACCACTAGGAAAGCCATCGTTTATGGAGAACTATATTAGTTGCAAATCATAGTTTTCACATTAATTATTTATTGCTAGGGCGTCTTCTGTTTGCATACATGATAATATGTTTTCAAAAATGTCTACTATCTATCACGTGAAAGATATAAGTACGTGACAATCCTTTGCAAATCTACAGCTTAACAAAAGTGGTTAAAATCATGCTTTTCAACAGATGTTTTTCCTTGAAATACTTTTCATTTGTCCTTGTCGGCTTTCGAATTTATCTTTTGTCAACCATAAGTCACTGCCAAAGAAGTTTTTTGTTCAACAGCAGAACTTATCAGAGTAATATGAGGACCACCTACAATCAGTTGTGATTTAATCATTTTTAAGACCTACACAAAACCCATTGTTTCACAAGCTAAATCGTGTTACAGATAAGCACTTCTATAACTTGCCAAAATCCTAAAATGTGAGTTGTCAAGGTGTTTATGGTTTTTAGAACACTACTATTTATCTGTTGTAAAGTTCCTGAGGCTGCAAGTTTAAATAGGTTCTAATATACATATTTCACTGTTTCAAAAACGAAATTTATTTGCAAAGAGAAATTAAAACAGATCACAATTTTAATAAACTCACTGGATATTTTCGTATAATTACAACATATTTATTAAATATATATCAACGAATATTCTTACAAATATTTGTAAAAAACTTGAAAAGAATTTCATAAATATGAACGTAAAGAAAGGTTATAAAAATTCCTAAATTCTTCATAATAAACTAATTTGTTAAACGATAATTTTCTTAACCATAATTTTATGAAACAAACCTTGTGATGGTCTATATTCTCAACATACTCTGATGTACAAGTGAGTCGTTTGAAAATAGTTAAACATTCTAATTCTATTGCTTCTGCTCTACTTTAGTACTATCACAAAGCCTTTAACGGGTTTTTCACAAAAATCTATATGACTAAAAAACTACTTTTTAATTCAAAGAGGATAAATTCAAGTATATCCTAAAATTAAGTTCTTGAAACTGGGAATTACCGTAACCATTTTACTCAACAAATAACACGAGATTAAATTCTTGAAACTAGGACCTACCGTAACCGTTTTATTCAACAAATAACACGAGATTAAATTCTTGAAACTAGGAACTACCGTAACCATTTTACTCAACAAATAACACGAGATTAAGTTCTTGAAATTAGGAACTACCGTAACCATTTTACTCAACAAATAACACGAGATTAATTTTGTAATTAGGAACTACCGTAACCATTTTACTCAACAAATAACACGAGATTAATTTTGTAATTAGGAACTACCGTAACCATTTTACTCACCAAATAACACGAGATTAA